GTGTATTATATCATATAAATCTACCTATGACCAATCACCACCGCTCAAGGTTGCTCGACGATGATGAAAAATATACAGTATGATGATTTACCAAAGTATGCTCATTTCTCTTTTCCAATAATACAATTGTTAAAAATTATATTTTTGGTATTTTTATTATACTTAAATATTATGTTTTTAAAGTTTTTTAAATTTTTCATACCTACTACTTTTAAAGAGTGTCTTGTGGAGGTACAAAGTTTTGTTTTTTCGAATTAAGATTCCATTTTCTATTTTAAAGTATTAAGCAAATAACTTTTCTGATAAATAATGTTTATTTTATTTAAAAATCAAAATTTAAAAACGTATTTTTAACTTACCAATTTTACTGCACGTACTAAGAATAATAGGTGCATGCTAACAAGCATTTTTGTAATTTTTTTAACTATTTTTAAAGACTGTTATTTATATTATAAGCTTTTTAGTAATTAAAACTATATTCTCTTGAATATTGTGTTAGGTACACTAAAATGTTCAAAAAAAGTATCCACTAAAAAATAATTTATTGCAAAATAAGGAAATTCTAATTTAAAAAAACAGAATATCCTATCGCTATAAGACTCAATAACTTAATAGTTAATACTAACCAGCACAAAAAATCTTAAAAAATTTAAAAATATAATTTTAAAGTATGTTTAAAATACTCCAAAAATCATAATTTAATTATTTTATTATTAATAAAAAAAAATGTTGAGTGATAAGTGTATATGAATGCACCCGGTGTATAGTGCATATTTTATAATATTATTAGAGGTAATTGTTATAATTTCTAAAAGCTATACTTAATTTATGGGAATTACACGAAATTAAAAACATATTGTTTCACATTTTAATATGATATAATATTATTTAGACATATAAAATAAATATTTGTTTTGCCTAATAATCACAGCAATTATAGCTAGAATCACCCGTGCGAAACCGCTACCATATATATTTATGGGATATTATAATACTATTATTGTACGTTAAATCAAATTACGTATATAAAATTTAAATAGTAAATTATCGGTTGTTCTTATAATATGTTTGTGATTCCGATGTGCATAATTATTGCCGATTGACTGATGTAAATCACTATAAGAATACCTATTGTATTTTAATAAAATTCTGTTCAAATAAAAGTCAACTCGATATAAAATATTATATACCAGTTACTGTGTTACAGAAATGAACAACGATGAAAAATTACCTGCATTGAGTTAATGAAGTTAATTAAACATTAAAAATACATTAATAGATTAAAGTATAGGTATATATAAATTTGCTGTTTATGTACAATAAATCCTATACTCTTGAAGTAAAATATTTTAAAAAGAAAAATTTTAACTTATTCTCAGTTAAAAGTTAGTTCAGTAAGTTTATTGATTCTCACAATTAACAAATTGTGATTGAGTAACTTAAACATTTTTTTAATAATAATTTACAATTTAAGATTTTGAGCTGAATTATGGATATATACATTTTACAATGATGTGTGTTTTTTTCTGTCATTACCTTTTGGAACAGTAAAAATTCTTCGATATTCAACTTTGAAGATAAATTCTTTAATATAATATTTATTTTAAATATCAAGTACATTATACACTTATTTCAACTATAGATTTAATAAATCAACTCTGTGATTACACTAACATAAAATACATTTTTCTTCCCTACAAAAATTTTCCAAATTACGTCCATATTGGTATATAGGTATAATAGGTATATAAATATCTTGTATATTATACATTAATGATACGTTAATGCGGAAAATCATTTACATAATATAATAAGGTTTTTAAAAATAAATGTTAGGTTTCTATTCGCTGATAAATAGTAAATAAAATAATTTCACCCGGCCTCGTCAACGATTGCTATTTTATACTTAAATCTTTTATTCTGGATATTCTGGCATATATTACCAATGGTCAATGGACATGAAATAAAAAAAAATATTAATAAACTATACTCTATACTTAAAAAATAATGGAACCAAATCTAATCTACTACTCACAAGTAAATTACTAATTGTATAATAATATATAGACTTGTTGTTGATAATTTGTTATATAGTATAATATTATGTCATAAATAGGTTATTAATGTTATTAATTTATTATATTAGAGAGCTGATAACAGTACATTCGCGTAATCCGAAGTATACCTAAAAAATTCTTAAAAGTGATTATTTAAAATTTATGATATTCATTGAATGTTTTAATCTAATTCTATATATAACTTTACATAACCTAACACTTTACTTACATATTCACGTATTACAAGTATACATAGGTATAGTGTCTAAAATAAAAAAAAGGTGCGAAATTAAAGTAAATACGTATAGACGTATAGTTTTGGAATTTTGTACAATATAAATATTATCGATTAAGCTTCGTTTCCATTGCATCACGTCAATTTGTTCACGATAAAAGCGAAGGTAGTAAAAATGTCATAAAAATGACAAACTTTAATGGATATAACTTTGAAACTAAGTTTGAGTGACAAATTCAGATTTCACCGTCATTTTATAATACCAAACAACATAATTAAAAAAAAAAAAAAAATGATGAAAGATTGATGCCCAGCAGTGTAACAATTTATCTGTACCAAATTAGATAATGCATTTAGTATTATTATAAATTTATAAATAAGACTAAAATACAAAAATCTTAAAATTTGTTCTTTGAAAAAAAAATGATAGAGAATGAAACTTTCAAGTATATTTGTTTAGATGTATGGATCGATAAATGATGAAAGCCGATCAACATATCGATTTTCTAGGCAAAAATGTTGCTCAAGTATGCCCCAAGTTTTAAGAACTTAATTATTAAATATAGTTATAATTTTTACTGTTTATTTTTATTGAAAATCATTAAATTCTGCAATAAAATAACTAAATAATAAGACATAATGTTTACATAATAAGTATAAATAAATGATTTTTATATTTGTGTGACATCTATCATTTTTAAATTTAACTGAAAAAACTAAGTTATTAGAATGGATATAATGGTTACAAAGTTACTAAACTAAATAAAAACTTAACTCATATTAGGTATTTAAGTTAAAACGTTTGAAAAAAATTACCTTTCTACCTATAATGTTCCCACTTTTATGTACATATAACGTAATTGTACTTTACGTGGTTATACGATGTGCTATACAGTTATGTAAATATATCCTCATTTTCATAATATTACAATTTGTTATGGTAAACATTTTTGGGGTAGTTGAAGAAAATCTACAAATATTTTTATGCTTGCAGTGATTTGAAAACCTTTAGGCGCCACTTTGACATACTTTTTATACAGAGTTATATCGATTAGAAATTAAGTACCAGTTATGCTACTGATTTTACTCTGGAAAGGTATAATCCTTTTCAAAATTTCGATTAAATCATAAAAAATAGCCAAAAAAAAAAAAAAAAAACATCAAAGATAGCAGTTTAATTTCCATCAGGTTTTTAATAGCGCATTCAAGTAATAGGTATCGACCATATTTTAATAAACCTGCGTAACCTCTAATATAATATAATCAGAGATCATAATATAATCATCTTTAGAATTCAAAAAATTGTATCATCAATATTATTCAATGTGGTCATTTTTTATTTATTAATTTCTATAGTTAAAACTATTTGTTATTTATAATAAATTATTGTTTATTATAAATATTGTTTCACTAAATTTCAAGAAACAACCCAAAATACCTACATATTTCTGCAGGATCAGAGCTAGAAATTAGAAAGTCATAAATTACATCATTCTAAACCATTAAAAAGAGATTTATTAATTATTTTTTCTGACCATCTTATAATATACCTCCTCTATATATAATTAATACCTATACCCCAAAAGTTTATTATCTGTGATAAATAAATTTAAGCTGATAACCAATATTCTAAATGTATAGTAGGTAGGTACTCATTTTACATAAAAAAACAAAAATCAAAATAATTCTCTATCTGCGATCATCAAAGAATTAAATTGGATATGGAGTTTAGAAGATGGACGGTATTTGTTTTATTACTGTTATTAGGTGATAAATGTGTATGTATATAATTAAGGAAAAATTTAGGGCTGTAATATAAAATATATTAAAAATAAAATTATTTATTTAATTTTACCATGTGAACAAGTAGTAAATACATAGGTCATTATCTAAAAGTGTTTTTAAGTGCTTAGTAATACGATTGTAACAAACAAATATGCAATATGGCTTGTAAATTTTTTTTATTATGAGTAACTTTTTAAAATGTTTTTTTTTATTTCTTAAACAAATATTTTAAACTTGAAAAATCATGTTTTATGAATGAAAATTGTAGCTTTTTGGTTTCAAATACAACTTGCTGGTCAATAGGTTAGGTCACTCTCTACTGTCCCCGCTTGTGAAGCTAGACTAGGTAAGCCCGCTCCTGATTTATTATCAAAGGCAAGGACTAAGTTTGCATTTAATATTTTTAGCTATCATTATCGTTCCAAAGTCCAAGAAGTCACTTGGTGTACAGACTACAGAGCTTCTACTGTTTCTAGGAATATACATTCAAGATTTTCAAGGAAAAAGTTTAAAGTGGATCGATACGAGTAGGTTCAAAATCGAGCATTAAAGAAAGTCAATGATGTGGAACTTCTTGAACTAAATTTATATCAGTTTATATACATTATACCAGCGATACGTATCGTACTCTGAACCTACGTAACTAATAAATACTTTTGACGTGTAGATTGTGTCGACTTTTTTTTTTTTTAAATCTAGCTTTTTTTATTACCATTGGGTATTTGGGTAGTGAGTGCCTATTTGAAAAAAATTCCTAGGACACGCACTCGCCACACACGTCACGCACGATAATAATATATTATTATCAATGACACCGTGTTAAATGTGTAGCGCACCGGCAGATGTCGCGGTGTGCGCTCGCCGATATCATACTAGCTGCTGGACTGCCGAAGAAACAGGTCTGACAATCGATTCGCGTACGGCCAGAAAAACAGGTCTGACAATCAATTCGCGTACTGCCAAGACCTCGTCCCGCACCGACTGATCGAATTTTTTTATTTTCTACGTACTCCTGAAAATCTGGTTATCAGCGGCGCCAGTTTTACAACGTATTGCTTTTTGCATTATTTACAATCGGCTCTCTGGTTTGCTTCTTGATTCTTGTTTGCTATAGGCTACAGCTCATAATCATCGGCGGTGATAATAATATTATTTCGTCCAGTCGCCCCGCCGAGAACTGCTCAAAATCGATAATATTAATAACGTTTTCCGAGACTTAACGCAGCTCGCGGTAGGTACACGCATACATCGGGCAACATCCTTCGTAGTGATTTTTCATTTTATATTATTACATAAATCGTTGTCGTGACGAATTTTCGTTTTCAGTCATTTCGCCAAGTCTTGAGCACCTGACACCCCGACCACCGACGGGCAACGGTCGACACACTCGACACTGAGTATCGTCTCTCTCCGACGGAACAGAGGGACGACGAGCGCGCGCATCACACCGCCCACACCTCTCCGCTTTACGCACGCACGTACAGCGATACAGTACGCGACGAAGTGCGAACACACACGACTACACGAGTACAACACGACACAGTCGACACACCAGTACACCACACACAGTCCGATTGCTCGACAACCGTCTGTCCGCTGCAGTCGGTGTATTCGCTCGTAAACGCCTGATCGTGCCGACCCCGTCGCCGGACGTAAGATGCTCATCAAAGAGTTGTGAGTATTAAAAAAAACTTATCGCCACGACCCGCTTTTGTTTGAATGGTCAAAATTTCTAGGGCACACGGTTACGGATCGATCGTTATCTCTATTTTAGCGTTATACAAACGCACACGCTTTCGCGTTTTGGGTTCACGGTTTAACCGATCGCTAACCCGTATCGTAGACGTCGTAGGATTGATAATAATGTAATCGTTTTTGTAACGAGATTACCCCGTGTACCCGCTGGGTTTTCGCGATTTTAACAACCCTTTCGGGCAGGGCGTTTGGACACTTGCCCCAAACATTACCGCCTTCCACGCCGTTACTTAGACACGCCACTATTATTACTCCGATTGTGCAGTGTGCACGGTAGAGGTAGATAAAAAAAAATTATCAATTGTTATCACTATTTATTATATTATTTGATCGCAAATTAAGCGATAAGTAACCATTCTTTAAATTGTCATGTTTTACCTAAATTCTATACTTTATATTTACTTTCGTTTACTTATAGTACATACTACCTACTATTATAATATAATATCCAACACATTTTCACAATGAATATTATATATCTCAACATTATTATGTAGACTGTTGACTTAGTTAAATTATTTTTTGTTCTAAAAATCGTGACCCATAACGTTTTTATGCCATTTATTTATTTATTTTTTAATTTAAATATTTTAAAATATTATTTACATGTATGATTGTACAAAGAAATAACGTGTCTCTTAGTTTTGAATTGTCTAGGTACTTAAGAAATTAATGTGTCAACCCTTATCAATAATCCTAGATTAATCATAAAAGTTGAATTATGAATTATTTTTCATTATTCTATACAATATACATAAGTATATTGTTCTACCATACAAACAAAACTGAAAATGAGTAAAAGTTTATGCTCCATAAGTTTTTATTCAATATATTTACATATTATCATAAATATAAATGTTTTGTTTCAATAATTACAATTAATCTTTAATTTATTATTAATCCATGATAAATTGATTATTCATAAAAGCTTTTTTATGAATATCATGACTTGACAAATTGCATAGTTTTTTTTATTGCTATTTGAATCATTTAATTTATCTTTGGTAAAATTCTTTTGTAATTGTATTCAAATTAATTAATGTAAAATCTTTATCAATTTCAATAGGTACTTCTTATATTTATTTTTAAGAATTAAAATGTTTTAGAAAGGTTAAGTAATTTCTGTTTTTTTAATTGTTTTAATTTAGAAATTAATTTTTTTCAAGAAACTACTTTTATGTCATCTGTATTACCTAAAATCATATTAATTCAACTTAATTCACTTTTTATACTATCTATTCCTATAAAAAATTATAATTTAAGTACTTATTTAATGTCTATTAGTTAAATAACTTAATAAGTACTTGATATATTGACTTTTACTTATGCCTATTAATAAAAATAAATGTTATTTGTTGCAGCCGTGTGGTACTACCCTTAACAGTTGAAGAGGTTTGTATTCATTATATATTTTCCAATGAAATATTTTTATTTTAGAAAATTATGAACTATCATAGTTATAAATTGTTATTTCCCTTTATACCTTATATTTTATTTTAATATTATACATATATATATATTTTTAGTATCAAATTGCTCAACTGTACTCTGTAGCCGAAGCCAGTAAAAATGAAACTGGTGGTGGAGAAGGTATTGAAGTGTTGAAAAATGAACCATTTACCAATTATCCCCTTTTGGGTGGAAAATATTCAGAAGGGCAGTATACTTACAAAATTTATCACTTGGCCAGGTAATTAATACGCTGCTTTATATTAATTATCATAATTTATATGCGTAGTCAATTTATATTTTCCCGATATTTACATAAAGTATGGATAAGTTCAAATGTTGATAAAACTAGATGTTCCTGTATTCTTATGTAATATCATTTGTAGTTTGTTTTACAAATTTACTTTAAAAACCTGTATAAGTGATTCAGGATTTTACAGATTACCTTATTAATATATATATATATATATATATATATATATAAGCTCAATCTAGTTTTTGAATGTTTTCAAAAATGAAACAAGTATTGTACATCTGGTTTATTAACTTAGCATATCAAGCTTTTGTTTAACATTGGATGTAATATGACATTGAATGACATGTTTTTCAAGGCCATTAAACTAGTATCGAGTGAAAATATATTAAAATATTTCATTTTATTCCAGCCTTGGTGTCTACAATGTTTCAGCTTCATGTTAATACTGTTTGAATTAATAAATAAAATTAATAATTACAATTATCCAGCATATTTATTTATTGTAGATCTATAGGTCTTAATTGATTTACCTAATACAAAATTTAATTGATATAAAACAAAAAAAATTAGCCATAACACTGCAATCTTTAGTTAGGTTTAACTTTTTAAGCATTGTGCTATTTAATTTTTAAAGTCAGAAAGAATTTATGACTGGGTTTTAAGTCATTTATATTTTGTGATAGTTAGTATGAAGGAGGATGTAACAATGAATGAGAAGCATAATATTTGAAAAATAATTTTTAATGCCATTAAAATCATGTTTGTTGACATTTTTTTTAAACTACTCCTTAAAAAAAATTAACCTTGCCCTATTTATCTGCTATATTACTTAAAAACAAAATTCTAAATTTAATTTCTAAAATAACCCTTTTACATGATTAAATTTGTTTTTGTTTTTATAATAAATTTTTAAGAATTGAATCAAAAATATTATTTGTAGAATAGATTTAAAATATTATTTAATTTACATTTTTGAGCATAAATACTCCCCCCCTCCAGCTTTGAACTGTTGCATAAAGAGGAACCATTTAAGCATAACTTCTCTTTATTAATATAAAAAAGCTGTTGGTTTAAACAAAACATTAAAAATTGAATAAAAAATATTGGCCTCTTATCATAAGATAATATCAAACATTGACACAGTGTTTTTTATTAGTTTGAAGTAATATTTGTATTTTTATTCTAAGTTTATTATTATTTTTTAAATACAAAACATTTACAGCTTTTCCATAACAGCAAATAAATACAAATTGGACATTATATATTACATATCATTATACCAAATCGACCGGTCAAAAATCTCTCTTTCTATTAGAACTTATTTTTATATATTTAATAGAAAGTAATAAATAAAGTTATGTATCTATTTAGTTGAATTAATAATTTTTATGTATGGAAGTCAATCCTCAAAGGAAAAATATTGTATCCTTATCTTTACCAAAAATAATTTAGCCATACAGTTTTTTTTATTATTTGTCTATGTGTAATTTCATGGTAATACTCTAATCATTAATGAACAATTATCACAATGAATTAGTGATAACAAATTAATACTGAATATTTATATTTTTAAAACATTTCTAATTTTTTTTAATTTATTCATGTTATTAGTAATCAAAAAATGTATTTGATGTATTATTGTCTTGTCATGAAATTATATTAAATTCATTTATTTGTGCAATTTTGGAGCAGTTACTATTTACTATCAATTAACATGTCTAACAGGTTTTAAAGAAGGTCATTTTATGCAAATAACTATATTATTGATGGTTATAAGTTATAGAAAACTTTCTTCCTGGTTCCAAAATATAATTTTGTTTTAAAATCTAAAAAAAAAATATTTCACACAAATAATCATTATACTTGACTAATAATTTAATAAGTATTATATCATATAACACCACTATCCATTAAAATAGTCATTTTTTTTTTATATATATAGGCTATATTTTTTATAATTTTTATGTTCAATAACTTAAAATGTATTGTTATAAAATAGCTTATTTTTGGACCAGATTATCTAAAATATACATTTTTTTTTTTAAATTAATGAGTATTTAAATTTTGAAATAAGATGATAAATATAAAAAAAACAACCTAAAGCTTAATGTAGATTTTTGTTAAAAAAAAATATTTTGAATTTAAGTTTAGTGTATTGATGTTTTGAATTATTAAAAATAAATTCAATTTTGATTTATTAGATATAGTTCAAATTATATTTTACATAATAATAATATTTAATTTTTTAATTTAAAACCAAACAAATTATTATCAAGATATTTCTAATTTTACTCGCTATTTAATGTTGTTAAATGTAGAATATTTAGATTAACTAAGTATTTTATTATATTTTAGCAAAGTACCTGGAATGATAAAACTTTTGGCACCTAAAGGAGCATTAGAAGTTCATGAAGAAGCATGGAATGCTTACCCTTACTGCCGAACCGTGATTACAGTAAGTTATTTTTATAACTGTAACTTACATATACAACATCTTAATTATTTTATCAATAAATTTAAAAATGTATACAATATAAATTGGATAATTAAATACTGTTTTCAAAAAAGTAGTAAATAAAAATTTGCATTTATAATTGTTGTCTAATTACACTGATGTCTTTTTCGCTAAAAATAGCCAAGAAAGAAATTATGATTATATGGGAAGCAACATTCATTCAATACTAATATATATATATATTCTTTTTTTATTGTGTTATGTGAAGTTATTAACAAGAAATAATTTTTAATGATACTTTTTTTGTAATATAACTTGTTTATACAAGATTTCTCAAGACTTACACAGTTGAAAAATAATATTTTATATTAATATTAGATATAATAAATTAAAGTATTTTACATTATGTCTATATTAGTTTTATTTGATCAGACGATTGAGGCTAGTCGTTTTATAGAACTGTTGTCTTTTATCATAAGAATTTTAAAATTATTGTTTTTGTAAAATTTATTATAACTTACAGTAAAAATTTCATCATTGATTTTCTCTTTGTATTTATGGGTTTTTATATCTTTTTGAGATTTATGATTTAATCACCAGTTTTAGCATCTGTTTAATATTCAATGTTTTGCACATTGGATTTTAATTTAAAAGTCTATTATTTTTATAGAACCCAAACTATATGAAAGAAAAATTTATGATAACTATAGAATCATTTCACTATGCTGATCGAGGAACCCAAAATAATGTAAGTGAAAGAAATGAGGTTGTTAAGATTATGACTATTATGCTCGCTATAATCTATGCAAAGGGATTTTTGTTTTATGTGTGAACTATTGGGTGTTAATGTCATTTATTCATGCTTGGAAACATAACTAAACAAAACAGTCCATTATAATTTCCCACTGTTTTATAATAATCTAATTAATATACATAACATGTGCCTTAATATATATTTTAAAATTAAACTTATAATTGCTTTTTGTTTGGTGGTTTTGCTTGTACATACAGAATCCAAATTATATGAAAGAAAATTTCAGTATAGTCATTGAATCATATCATATTGCTGATAGAGGTACACAAGAAAACGTAAGTGATGTGGTCCTTAAAATGTATTAGCATATAATTCAAAACATTTTTGTATTTACTACCTCAAAAATCTACACTGTTGTAAAATGCTTTAACACTGTTTTGTTATTTGAATTTGAAATTGGATTTTGTATTATTATTTATCATCTCGCTTATATATAATTTATTTATAGCTTTGTCTAACATAGAATTTATTTATTTTTTATGTTTTAAATTGTATTATAATGCTTAATTTAACAAAATTTGGCTTAAGTTTCTATTTTAAAATCATTAATATCATATATTTATATATATGTAATGTACACAAACAATATTTTGCTTATTTATTGTTTTACTAAACACATTTTCTTCTAATAAATCTTGAAATTATTTTACCTCATAAATATTATGAGCAATTTTTGTTTAAGTAAAAGCTTTCAAATTGCATATTACTCGAGTATTAAGTTATTCATTATTATCTAATCCTAAAGGTGTATTAGATAATATAAATACATTAACACTATTATGTGCATAATTTACATTCTAAATATAATATAACTTTAGTGTTCATGCTATGTATATATCATTCAGCTTTTTAGGTAATATTTTGCTTTATTCTATTGCTATTATAATTATTATTTCTAATACATATTTATTATTGAAAATAGGTTCATGAATTACCTCCTGAAAAACTAAAACAGCGAGATGTACAAATAATTGATATTGGTAATGATCCTATTTCATCTTCAGATTACAAAGAAGATGAAGATCCTAAAAAATTTAAAAGTCAAAAGACTGGAAGAGGTCTTCTCCAAGGAAATTGGATTGAAACAGTATGTTTATTTCATATTATTTTAACACATACGCACTTTTGTTATTACCAAACTTGAATACCATGTACATCAAGGATTACTGTTGTCTACTGTTCTAGGCAAATCCAGTTATGACTTGTTATAAATTGGTATCTGCAGACTTCAAATGGTTTGGGCTGCAAAATCGAGTAGAAAACTTAATTCATAAGTCAGAACGACGTCTATTCACTAATTTCCATAGGTATATTATTTGTATTAAGTTAATTAATAGTGTTATATATTATAATGTAATTTTAATTAATGATGTAAATTAATTAAAAAAAAATTTTTATAGACAAGTATTTTGTTGGATGGATCGTTGGCATGGACTTACGTTAGAAGATATTCGTGAAATTGAAGAAAAAACTCGAGAAGTATTAGACAAAGTATGTTTGCTTATAAATAAATAGTTGACAACATTATTAATTGATCATTTTAATTGCAGCAACGAAATGAAGGAACTGTTAGAGGAATGAAAGCAGATGCTGATTAAAACATTTTTGAAAGCTTTACAAACCTATCCAAATGCCTGAAATCGTTTTGAAAATTAAACCATATTTATTCTAACACCAACCAAGTTGAATAAAAACAACATGATACCACATCTAGTAATTTTTATCTCTTAGTCTAATTTTAACTAAAAATTTATAAATTATATTATACATTTTATTCTAAAATAACATTCTTACTTCAAATATACTCCAAATTGTCACTATATTTCTTAGGGAAATTAGCTCTTTTTAAAAATATTACGGTTATAGGTACTTACCAACATTTATTTTTAAAAATAATTATTACTTTTTGATAATTTATTGTTTTATAGAAAGCCAAGTCATTCCACTTTCTATTTATTTTCTTATCCGTTCTTCCTCTTATGTTTTTACTTAATAATTGGTTTATGGATTCACAGTGATTGTGAATATTCATGGTTAATTCATGGTGATTGTATACAAGTAAACATAGTCAAATTCTATTTTTAGTTGTCAAAATGATTATTAATTATCTTAACTAATACATTTGTTAAACAAAAAAAAAAGTATTGCAAAATTCGGTGATTTAAAATTTAATTGATTTTTAATTTTATGGTTACCATATTAAAAAATATATTTAAGCAATACACATGTCTGTGTACAAACAATATTGTAATACCCATTTCAATTTTAATAATTTTCAATATTAATAGTTAATTCACTAAAATGTTTAGTAAAGTTGACAATTTAAAATTTGACAATAATAGCATTACATAAATGCATTAATTATTTGAAAATGTATTAAATTATAATTGTTGAACATTAGACTAGTGAATTTCCATGTCATTTAAGTTCAAATTGCAGTAATGTAGAGTGTACTGATTTTTTTCAATAGTGCAAACTGGATTTGTGTGTATTTTACTACTTGTTGGCTATAGTATTAAATGAATAGCTTTTTCCTCAGTTGAAAATTAACTTAACAATAGTGTAATGTAGACTAGTGAAATGTAAAAAAAAAAACTAAATAGTTTGAATCAATTTTTTAATTGTTAAATTTTTTATCTGAAAGTACTCGTAATACATTATTTTGACACGTTATTTATTTCACCAGGTATTACCAAAATGTATTACAAGTAAATTTCAGTTGTACATTGTATAATTTTATTATTCATAATAGTTTCTCTGTATTGTAATATTACCATTTAAGTTGCATTTATATGTCTGTGTATTCACAATTTTGATAGACGTGAAGTTTACATATAATACATTTTGTTTTTCTTGCAAAGTAACTGTATGTCTTAAATTATAAAATTATAAATGTAAATAGCCATTAATGAAATGTGAGTTGCTTATAAGTTATGAAACATTTTATTGATAATAAATTTGAAAATAAAAAATCATTCTATGACTATTTTCTCTAGGACTGTAGTTCATTAAATATATTATTAAAAATTGTTGTTGATCGTTTAAAAGTCTAAATTTGTTCAAATTTCTGTGAAAATAAAAAATGTAAAATATATATATCTTGAATATTAAACATTAAAATATTATATTTAGTCAAAAGTTTTCAATCTAAATACATATACACACAAAAACACATTAATAATTTATATATTGATTATCTTATTACATTATAATATGTTATTAAAGTGTTACATTTCTTTATAATTTATAGATAACATGTTATGTATACATTGTAGTACTTTAAAAGTTTATCTGTCAGACAAACTATTATATAATAATAATAATATATTGTATATTTATGCATTACATTAATTTAGTACTTTGGTTGGAGCATGTAAAAGAGATCATTTTTAAAAACAAGTTAACTTTTACAACTAATAACTATTAAATTTTGTATTAATTGCATATATTAAATTATTATTATTATTTAATTTTTTGATCAAAAAAGAATGAACTATAATTATTATAATATTATGTTATAATAAAATACTTTACGTTATGATAAGTGCGCTCTGCGATTATATTTGTTAGATGTTATTAGATAACTCGTTACAGTGTTTTTAGGTAATAAAAATTGGTTATTTAAATATTTAAACCCTGCTTTGTTATTCTAAAAACAAAATTATATATTATATACTTGTGTACTTGTTGCAGCATAATCCAAACGTTGAACTTTGTTTTGACTTATAGCTGTTGATTTATATTTTATTGTAGTTAAGGCATATTTTTATAAACAAAAATAGTACCTATTTTATAGCTAAGTGTTCATGGAATTGTGGTAAACATAATACCTTACGCATTTAGAGAAACTGGTTTTATTATTTACACTTATAGGTATGATAATAAATAGTATTTAAATGCAAATAATAAATCTTTAAATTTTAAATGGCTATTATAATTTATAGGTATACTCATAAACTTTGAAAATTAAAATATCAAATCATCTTTGACTGAACAAAATCAGATTACAGTATTAAGTTGAGTATGTATTACATTTTCGTTGTTAAAAAAATACATTAAGATTAATGTATATAAAAAATAACTGGTCTAAAAACTATATTTTTAGTTTTTACTAAGATGAACAGTAGTATTATAATATATACTTTTAACATAATTTTTGGACTTCCGTTTTTATATTTTGTTTTTTTTAATGTTAATGTTTGCTAAGAGAACTTAATGGATAGTATTAAAGACAAGTAATAAGTCTAGGAATATAGGTTTGAATGATATTGAAACTTCAATGATTTTAAAATTATTGTAATCAATATATTAATTCTTCAGCACTTGTAACTTCTAAAAATAGTCTTAAGTACATAAATCGAATATTACATCTATTTTATTTATTTGCAAAATCATTTTTAAGGACTACCAAACAGTAAAATCATATTTAAATAACTGAGAAGCACTCATTTGAATTTTGAATTAGATACCTACTACCTACATTAAAAATTTTCAAAAAAATTGTTAGGTACCCACTTAACTAAATAATTAACAGTAAAAAAATCAGGTTCTTTTTGAAAAACATAATTTTATCACCACAGGACATTCCTTGTATCTAGTACAAAAAAAATCTCAAGAATTTGATCTTGTGTTAGCGATGGGTGGCTTCTTCATCACGTAACCTCAATATTGTTTTTATCTCGTAAACTTATTGCACTTAATTGTACAGATATATATTTTATATAATAAAATAAATGTCATCAAAGAAATACGTTACTAAAGAAAATAACGGAATGTGCATATTTAGTGCCATTCTGTATACCCTTATTAATTATAATGATTACATATTGATAAAGAATAAATGCAATGTTTTCAGTAAAAATTTAAACAACCTACAATGTCATAGACTCATAACTTATAATACTAGTAAAATAAATTATATATTAATGAATAATGACCATATAAATATAAGTAATAATATCTATATAATATCCTCCACTGATCATGCTCCAAAATATGTTTCGTTTTAAATATGATATTACATCATTAAATTCAACTGTAATACATGTACTATAGTGATCAACTTTTTCTCCTTACCTATTTTAAATTCTGAATGATGCGATAAATTTATTGATTTTATTTTGAAGTGTTAATTTAAAATTTTTTTTTATTTCTAAACACGATAAGTAGTTGATAAAATGCTTTGATTTATAGTACCTAATGGAGGTGGTATCTGATTGAAAATTATATTTAATTAATAATTGGTACTTAGGGGAGTCAAACAAAAATAATCCCAATATATTTTTTTATTATCAGATAAAACGGAAATGTTAACGCAAATACAATATTCAGGAAAATCGTTTTTGATTTTTAGTGGAGCTCAAAAATTAATTATCAATTAGATAGATACTTTAAATTTTTACCAAATATTTATATTTATGATAACATTTTCAAAATATAGGTATTTAATATTTTCAATTTTCCTTAGTTTTTTCTATAAATGTCAATTAAAAATTATTTACTGGGTAGAAATGCTTGAAAATTTAATATAAGATCATTAATTTTTTTATAAACATTTGAAGTTCAATTTTTTTACGATATTAAATTCTCATAAAATAATTATTTCTCTTCTAACATTTTTGATATTTTATTGTATTTCAAAAATAAACTTACAGCAGATACTTCAATTTTTCACAAAATGTTTGACAGTCGCATGGCCGCTGAACTTTTGAACACATTGATCGAAAAGCTAACACGTTTGGGTACAAATAGACACGGCGCTTGGATACATAAAATAAAAGGTATTTTATAATTTTATCTGTTAAAACAGAGAACGTCTGGGTACACTTTATAAACATATGATCTACAATAGTGATATAGGTACTTTATTTCCAAACCAATTAATATCAATTACTTATATTATTTTGATTAGGTATTTTATGAGTATTATCGTAGTATATGCGACTACGAACTTATACATAATATGTATCATATATAAAATAAAATAAACATTTTTGGGAGACTATTAAGAGCCAACGTCCTCGCGAAGTCTCCTAGGTAACTCTAATAGATTCTAAAAATAAAGTTAAGAGTATAAAAGTAAAAAATTTGCACCCAAACGTTGGTACTTACCCAAATGTAGTATTATTTAAAAAATATTTTGTTACCCAAACATTGTATTGATTTTTGGGATCTGAAAAAAAAGTATACCTGAATGTGTATACCGAATCTCGATATCGTAAAAATATCGTTTTGTATCCAAATGTGTAACGGCCAGTCGCATACCCTTCGACTAAGTTTACTCGCGCCTATATGACGTAGCTACATTGTAGAGTTACCTTTTAAACTAAACTTTAGAATAGTAGCCCACTAACCAGTCCCTTGTTGGTGAATTATAATTACATTTATACATTTTTAATAGTATGACCAGTGATTGTTTGATGTTTTTATTAGGTAGTTCATAATATTTAACCTAATTGGATTGTTGGGCAGTAGGCATGACACATATTATTAACTATTAAATCACTATGGCTAAAAAAATTTTTGTTTTTAAATTAAAATTGTATAATTTGTTAGAAAATCCTTTTACGAATTGCGCAGATCCTGCACAAAATAAATTATATGCTTCAAAGTCAAAAAGAAGATTCAGCATCAGCAATATTAATATACCTATTAGAAAAAAATATAAAATAATAATAATTAGTATTTAGTACTTAAAAATTCAAAATTATAGTTGTTAAATTATTGATTATTATACTCATTACATAATTAAATTTGATTCATGTATAGAACTCTAGAAGTATGACTCTTCATAATACAGCATAA